CGATGACGGGAAACCTTTCAAGATGGCCATGCCCGCTGTCGGAATGGTTCGAATGGTTGCCATGGTCATGACCATCTTGTCCGTAGTTATCATTGTCCAACAGTGGTTCTGTTGACAGATGTGCTACTTGTGTACTTCTTTCAATATTCAAATTACCATTTGTCGAACTTCGAGGGGCATCATTTCGACGTTGTTCGCGCTGTCGTTTTTCGAACAAAATACGGACTGCAGTTTCGTTTATCATGCTATTTGGATGTGCACCAGCCTCGGGTGGAGATGATCCAAGATTGGCAACGTCTTTCACGCTCACATTTCTTAGTGCATCAGTCGAGAACTTAGGTTGAACAAGTTCAGGGGCTCTAGCTGACTGTTCTAGCCCTGCTATGCAGGCCGCAGCGCCTAGCACAAGTGCTGCATACAACATCTTTGACATCTCAAGTTCTACAACACACGACAAATATTTAGTTTTAAAAATTGATGAATACGATAGGCTTACGTGTCTTCATTATTATATAATTCCAAGCAAAAGTAAGTGTACATCATGCTAGAAAACTAAAGTTGAATTAACAATTAGGTGGGTTGAGGCTTCATCGGGTAGGTCGTAAGGAGACAGTGACTCGAGATGGACTGGCGCAGGAAGAAGATTTCTCGCTCGTCATCAAGTGTCGCTCCTCTTGAAGTGACATTCAAGTTTTGGTTACATGCAGACCTCTCTCGGATTGGTGGAGTTGCGTAAATGTAAATACACTAATACATGACAAAATATTCAACTAGCTCCGAAATTTGTTAAACTTGTGTATTTTTTTACTGTCGTCATGGGGCTATTTAAAATGACTCTTAAAGAGCACGTCTGCGAAACGCGACCAGCATTTGTTATAAGAGACTATACAGAAAATCTTTCTCTTTACGTCCGCAAATAAATCGACTGGATTATCTTGCAACGAGTTCGTGGCTGCGCGTACGTTGCTTATTCAGTTTGACGCAAGCATGTCACGCAAGAGTGTGAACACCCGCAGAATGACAAGAAATGTCCTTAAATGACATAAACGAGACGCATGATGTAAGAACTGGCAAGCCCATGTTAGTAAGTATGAATTATTGTGAATAAAATTCACAGAAAATTTATTGAAACGATCACCTTCACGTAATAACTTAGGTCAGTCGCACGACTGCACTCAGTATGGAATATTGAAAGTTTCCTGCCTTATCTAAAAGTATATGTTTACTCTGCGCAGATTCTAATCGGTAAAACATGAATTATTTTCTGGCAATGCGCCAGTATTACTGAGCGCTGGCATTGTCACCTTTAATTTTATACTGCGTAAAAATCCCTCGACAGAAAAGGTTTCGAAACATCCTCGTTGAAATTCAAAATCATTCTCTCGAAAGATAGTTTGAGCTGCTTTTTGTGACGCATTATGCAGGGCGCACAGAAATTAATAAAACATGGGCATCTGGGGTCAATCGACATGATGCAAACCGTCCTGACTTCATCTGTAATCCTGAGCAGCTGTGATCACCCATAAAATTTACCCACTCTCGTCGGCAAAATTCTCAACTGCAATTTAACACAAGATTAAATTTTAATTACAAATTTTCCTTTTCAGAACTCGATTAATATAATTGTTTCAGTAACATGCGCAGTTTTCTTTGATAATTCTCAGGGCATGCTTCCTAATGTGAAGGTTAAACATAATTTGCTTCTAATCAGTCGTATTGAAGTTTTAAAATAGGGAAAATAATTTTCAGAGAATCTATATTATTAAAATTAATACAATGTTGGAATAATTTTTACCACCAGCCTGTACACTGTAAAGGTATGGTGAAAATTACCACCATGGTACATCAAAGGACGGTTGGGCAAAACTATAGCAAGCATACAAAAAGTTTTAACAGCATAAAAATCATAAATTTTATTTCGCTGCAAACAACGCCTCGGTGCATGCAAAATAAATTAAATGCCTTACAGAAAAATACAGGCGCTGAAAGAAGCGAAGTAAATGAAGACCAAATCCATAATAACACGGCGGACAAATAAAAACTAATTACAATCCTTATTTATACCATCCGAATGGACGTAATAATTTCGGAATGAGTCGGTGCTTCATCCTGACAGATTGTTTCATTCTGCGCAGCGTGCATGGAGGCAACAAATATCGTTCAAGCGTAACTGCGGGCCCGCTGCTCAAGTACAGCAAAAATGGACTAACACTAAACGCTCTTCTGTCCTTTATAGCCGTCAATGTACAATTGAGATGTACAAGTTTCGTGTAACACATAAGCAGAGTACAAATGTTACGGTCGCATTATGTTGGGAAATCACAGGCGAAAAATCAACATTGCTGTAAGCATAACAAGTTCAAGGAGGTAAGCTCATCCAGAGTTTACAAAAAACTTCCGGGGTCTTTCATATATTCAACATATTCAAACATCGAAAATTCACAGACAAGTTTGGCTTTCACGTATCAATGGTGTGTGCGTCTAGTGAAAAACTCCGTGTACATTCTAGCACAGCATGCATGGCGATCAAATGCATACAACAGCATAATTCAGAATAAGCGGAAGAAATAACTTTAATTTGAGGGAAACAACTTGAATGAAGGCGATCAATTAAGCATCTTATTTGATGCCTACTCAATTCTGCGAGGAAGAATATGTTAAAATAATAGCTGAATATCTAGCACTGAAATGAATGATTATCATTTAACATACAATAGTCAATACTCACTTATCTTGCACAGCGCCGCAAGAAATATCCACATGCAAATGGTGAATGGTTCCCGCACTCTCTCATAGTCGACGCTGATAACATGGAAGTGTTGCAAGCGATGCTGGCAGCGTTGACAGTCGTTATCAGGGTGTGTAGAATTAAATTCGTCTACACTCCTGCCCACACGCTTCCGTTCTCGACTTTCAGAAAGATTCGAGCAAGCGGTTGAAGGAGTGAAACCGTCCTCTAAGCTGATAAACATATCTGGGAAATTATAATTATTGGATCCTTGCTTGTAGATTCTAACCACGGTGTCTGGGACTTTAAAACTTACATGCTCTCCTTTAACATGATGGTATGATTACGTGGCAAAATTAGCAGTGAATAATTCGTATAACGGAGTTCAGGAAGAACATCATTCTGTTGATGGCTGTCGATGTCAGTAACTCGGTTCCCAAAAGACGAATTCACAATTGCAATCACGCTGAAAATTAACATCGTTACCACACAAAGATTCTCCATATCCAAGGTCAATTTTAAATTGTTTATGTACTTCAAAAGGTACACGAATAAATTCGATAAAAATGTTATTGCTCTCGTTATGCACTACTACGTACATAATGGGCAAGGAAATTCTCCTTCAGCTGCAGATTTGATAACTGCCAAGTCTTCTAATGATACTGCTAGTTGTTCCCCAGTTTCAGATAAATAATCATGTAGATCACGAACTTGACCACTTTAAAACATTTCATTTTTTAGTAGGAAAACTCGAACATCTTCATCGGTTTAAGATCGGCTACTGGCAAACTTTCTCTGGGCAAACTTTATAAAATATTTTCTTTGATTGAACCTCAACCGAAAATAAAATGCATAGAAGAACTAGTCGCTAATTTTTACTAGGAAATGTGAAATAGTGGATGGAAAAGTGCACGATCGATGCTTGACTATAAACTTATATAAATCGATAAACTAGTACGTCAATATCGGGATCTACCCATGATTTCAAATTAAAATTATCTCTGCGAAAAGAACCTTCAGCTCTAAATGTGTCATCATCGTTCATCGGTACGTAACACAAAGCTTTAAAACATTAAATATAAGGGTTTGTTACACTCAAAGAAATTCTAAATGAATCAACACATCTTTTTAGTTCCTTAATCACCACAAACTGCTGTAATTGTCAGCGGTTAGATCCAAGGAATTTGTGAAGAAACGCCCCATCCAAAATGCTTTATCACTAATGCCAGACACTACTGAACCAACAACTCTCACTGCTCAAGCCTAAGTAAGGAACCAATATGAAAAACTGAGCATAAACAGAAAATTACATGATTTAGCAACGCGTTTAAGACCTAACGCAACGCGAGATTAGTTCCATCTATTTTCTGGTCACACACAATACTTATGGATCCATCAGTAACTTGCACAAGATCAATGAACAAAGATACTTCGGAAGCATGTCTCCGAGAACTTCTTACATAAACCCCGCCCATATCATGAGGTTGAAGCCGTATAGGTTAAGATTAGTCCTCCTAGCTTTACAAATATGTCTGACCCAAATTTGCCGTTTACTTGTTTTAATTGGGAAGGGAAATTATCCGGACCAATACTACCTGTGTCAAAATTTCTAGTCGATAATCGATGTAACTAATGAACATACCAGCTGAATAATTATTTATTCGATAATTAAACGAAAAAAGTTTAAATTACTTCACAAGACGCACATTCATACAGTGGGGGGAAATAAATATTCGTACACTTTAAAAATCGTATTTTAATGTATGTAAGTACACAAATTTAACAGGAAAAGTGATTTAAATTATGTATATAGACGCATAGTATTCAAAAATACTATCAAAAGAAATTAAATCTCACTGCAACAAAAAACAATGCAACATGTTCACTTTTCGGGTGAAAAAAGTATTCGTACAAAACAATAAATCCGCATTATTTTAATTTAATACTTGGTTGAATACCCTTTATTCAGCTATTGCATTAATTTTTGTTGCATTGAGATTTAATTTCTATTGATGCTATTTTTTAATACAATGCGCCTCTATACATAATATAAATCACTTCTCCTGTTCAGTTTGTGTACTTACATACATTAAAATACGATTTTTCAAGTGTACGAATATTTATTTCCCCCCCCACTGTAGATATTTCATCGATATATCAACCGACTGCCGCAGTACTTACAAGAGGACATATGTACCTCGTATATTGTACATGGTATTGAAATGTTCATCTTTCATGTTCGGACGATTGAAGGGATAAACGATACGAGCAACATGTTCAAATCTGTATTGTACGAAGAGTTATTACTGATAATTTGCACTAGCTAAGTTCCACATATTTACAAGTATGTAGTTTCATGTATCGAGATACTGGACGCATTGGTATTGGAACTCTCAGGATAATTTCATGTCCAAAATCTGCACGGATAGATTCATTGATTGCGCATCGATAGGGCCAATGTACTCAAGTAAAACTACACTGAGATTACCCGGATTTAGTTTATTTTATATCTCTAAATAATTTTACATGTAACCATCTTGCTGAATATGACAGAATCATCAAAATAGACTGAGTCCAGTTGATCGACCGAACATCAAAACATTTCGGCAGGCCTTTTACTTTCTCCAGGACAGGAACGAATGCCAAGGCATTCTGAGAGCGTGATCAGAAATTAAATCTTGTTCAATGAAGTAACTGAGAAATTTTTTTCAAAATAAAGTGCATTCATCTCCGAAACCCAGGGTCTTTGAACAACACAAATCATAGCAACACTTGTGCAAAATAAGTTCATTTAGAAGCTTCAAACGAAAATAAATTGCGCAACAAAGCGCAGAGCAAACAAGTTCAAAGAGAAATATTACAAGTCCGGTTTTCAATCAATGGACCAGCAACTCCGATAATGGAGAACCGTTCTTAGAATCATCCCGCTAGAGTTCTCAAATGCAGACTGAGCGTTCCTCGCTGCAGCGATCGTTGTTCGTAGCTCGGGTTTTCCGATTTCCGGAAACTTGGCGTCGGACGCTCGCTTCAAACTCCTCTTCATGGAAACCACTATATGAAAAAACCACACGGAAAACAATCATCGAGCCACAACCAAGAAATGGGTCATTACTACGTGCCTGCTCATGTCTTGGTAGTTTTAGTCTTGAAAATGGCGTACCGGCGCGTTCTCGTCATTATTCTCTTCAGTCATGCACTTTGAAACTACATTCCAACCAATGTAAGCAGTTTGTAGCTGTAACTTATAGTACATTTCCGTCCAGATGCAAAGAGAGAGTAGGTGCGCAGTGTAAATCGTTGTTTCTGTTTCGTTCTTTGAATTAAACATTTCAATCATTCTTTTCGGAAAATTATTATACCAGGCTTGACGAGAAAAAAATTGATTGGCTTTACGCACTAGAAGATATGAAGAGAATGGTTTAGAAAGCGAGGACAAGTACCATATCTATCCAAGTATTCGTTTCCAAACTGAAACTGCCATCCAACATGTAATATTTCTGATAAATAGTCCTTGGTTACAGTAACTCAACTTTTAATTATGCATCGCATGAAGCATCTGTCGATTATATCAACAGAACCCTTAGTGGACGAGATTTCGCAGGATGATGCACGATCTGACGAATCAGATTGCACACTCGTTACCGTTTGATAACAACAAAATTTACGTGACAATAACCATTAATAATGATTATTAAAAATAATTTACACTGCGAGTAACACACATGGATGAACTAGAAAATTAAAAGAAAATTCGAGAATCCATCAGCCAATCATAATTCGTATCTTCAACGGCGTTACCTATGGCGTGAACCTCTACAAACCTCGCCCACCAACACGTCAGCGTTCCGAGACACGACAGAGACGCTGGTGAACTGAAGAAAATGGTCATGTTACAATATTGAGGATTGAGTAAATAATTATGAGCAAAAAAAACAGATAACCAAAACAAGAAAGAAAAATCTAACTATTTACTTGACGCTATCCCAAGCACAATAGTAGCAGATAGCAACCATCAGACACAGAATGGGAAAGCACCTGAAATACAAACCACTATTTCTACGATCGCGGGAAACTCGCTAGTGTGAGAAGAAAGTCAATTAAAATGTGCAGTATGAAGACCATTTCAAGAACTGCTTATTTAACATTAACGTTAGCATTATGAACATGTCCATTTTGTATCGCAAGTACAAATGTTAATGAATTGGCCAGGCACCGCTGATATACGTATATCAATAATTTCAATATTTAAAGCAGCCCATAGTATACGAATGAAATATGAATTCGCGTGGCAGAATTTGCCCCCTATATTTCAATGAACATCCGCGTCAAGAGTGTTTATCGCTGCACCATCTTTATTTGCTAACGGCAATTGATATTATTTAGAGGGCACAAGTTTATTTAAAATACATTCTCACCCTTGATTCAAATCCTTTATTATACTTAATAAAAAAGTAACAAAATGATCATAATATAACGAAAAATTAAATTTTAAACTACTTATGCCTTGGTCCAAACTCTCCTACGTGTAACTAAACTCAAATAGGTACGTGTCAACTCTCAAACGTGTAAGAAATTCTGTAATGACGTCAGCAGCTCCAATGCCTGGAGATGAGAGTGAAGGTCACAATTGATCCAAGTACATGGTATTCGATATATTAAAAAGCCATAGATTAGTGGAGAAAGGGTAAGAATTCAATACTCTGAAAAAGACATCAGCGACGATGATCTTTACGAATATTATTATGTTGGCTAGCTTCTCTACGACATAAGAACCATCAAAATTAGGCAATAATCTTCATCAAGCAGGGTTATCATACTACAGCATAAAAGTTTTACGTGAGTCGCTTGGCTTTCTTATAAAGAACATCAACAACTTTCTCCATTGCTTTGATGGTGTCTAGAGCATGCTTGTACGTTTGATCTGGCGTTGAGGCTTCCCAGACTTCAAGAACTCCTGTTCCTTGATCGAGGATACCTGTCAACTTCGAGTCCAAGATCATCTGACTGAGCTTGCGCTCTACCAAGTCCTGTGGCAGCCCAATGGTTTCACTGATGTATGATACTTGCACTTTGCTGTAGGGCTCAATAATTCGACACAGATTCTGCTCGAGCATTGTGTCATAAAGAGTCTTGAGATGAGCCTTGACGATCATGTCTCCCTCCAGTTCCTCCTTGTAGGTGTTGAGTGCTGCCTTGAAACGTGCCAGAGATCGTTTGCTGCTGGCAGCAGCTATCTCCTTCATGGCCTCAACATGAGACCCACTGTGTCGTAGTGCCAACTTCCCACTCACAATATTCTGAACATCTTCGGGCGTCTTTAGCATGATCTTGCTCAACAACATGTACTTGAGAGCAGTTAATGCCTTAGGGCTGCCAATGCTGTCGTAGCCTTCAAAAGCCTCATAAAAATATGAAAAAGCAGTTTTGAAGTCTTTTTCTTCAGCTGCATGCAGGACACCTGACTGCAAGTCAAGAGCACTCTGGAGTTTGGGAGGACAATAAATGCCATTGGCAGTTGTACGGGCTGATGTGAGAGCAGCTCTGGCTTTAGGTAAATTACCCAGAGCATGATAAGTTTTGCTTTCGAATAACTGAACCTCAACCAGAAGATTCTTATCATCCAGCTTCTTCAACTCAGCCAGGAGTTGAGCAGCAAGAGCAAGTGCTTGGGTGTATTGGCGGGTGTCAAAAAAGAGGGAAACCAGCCGAGCCTCAAGGCTCTGACGAAGAAAAGTGCGATGCTCATTCTTGGCCCATTCAATGTTTTCTTGGCACACTGCTACCTCCAAGCTACTGGCTCCCTCCAAATCCAGCAACATGTCAACCAGGCTGCGGACAAGTCGTGCAGCTTTGGCTTTGCTGATCTCGCTCAAGAATGGTCGAGTATCTCTGATGAGCTGGGCAAGTTTTTCTGCTTGTCCGGCCTTCTTGTACTGCTCCCCCAGCGCCATGATGCCCGCCTCTCGGCTAGCAATATCATCATCTTCCCCTGCACAAAAAAAAAAAATGAAAAATCAGAAAATGGATTCAAGAACATACCCAAATAGCCCATTCATAATTAATTCAGAAAACAGTATAACAAAAATTTTATACCCATTCAATAGACACTTATCTGAAATATCTTTGGCCAATTTTTGTTGAAGGCTTGATATTTTCACAGCAAGAAATCAACAATGCCACAGATTAAATATGACTAATATTGGTAATTCTGACATGAAGATGTTTGAACCTGAATCATGACAAATATTAAGCACATTGTCCACAGTCCAGAGTGTGGCAACATGTATTGAGAGGTAGGCTCTTTTTCAACACTTGCCACTACAGTTGAGAAACAATTTGAAGGTACAAATATTATAGAGAGGTCAATGATTAAAATTTAATAAAGTAACTGTTTCTCTATCTGAAAAGCCTTGCAAGTCCAGAATATTGTAAAAATTTAACTTGGCCATTCAATTTTAGCATCATATCAAGATTAAATAGGATTTTACATTAATTATCGAGACGTAATTGAGATTTATAAATATGACATTTCTGAGTAATTAATAATCTGTAGCAAAATGATTAAAATGGCCCATTTTGCTATCATCAATTTCCCTACAGATGGACTGCAAATTGCTGTATCCACTACATTGCAAAGGTTTTCTGCCACCAGTAACAATCAAACGTCAATATAGTCATCAATTAAAAAATTTCAATATGAAATTTACATAAACCCTAATTAATCAAATCAGTGCAACTGCAAGCAGACTGCAACAGTCGTGACTCCAATGATTTTTGGCCTATATGAAATAAAGGATTTACTAGAGGTCTTTCATCTTACATACACTAAAATCATTCTGCTTGACATTACAATTGATTGTTTCCTATTAAATTAGCTCACATACATACAAGTCATTACTCAACATGTGTGACAAAGAAGTATTAAAACATTAGGAACTACTCGTGCTTACTAGCACATACTCCGCAACCTACAGTACTGCATGCTACTGACCAGTGCTCAGCAATACAGTTGTGAGAAATTTAACATTTCTCACTGAGAATTACACAAATGTCAAATGATTTAATTTTTGCGTGCAGTGTGGTCGCCTTTTTTTTTTTTTTGTCCAGCTGTGTGGACAAGTTGACGTTGGGTTCTACGCGAGCAAAATCGGCAGATGCAATTTTAAGCAGTTCCGAGCGGTGGTTGGCTCCTTCAGTGACCAATTCGAACTACAATTTTGTGTCACCTGCCAATCAGTGTCATGTTGATCAGTCATTTAGTATTTCTGAAAACTTCCTATAAACCTGGTTCTCTGTTCCTTATTTTGTGTGAATGCCGTGTGTCATTTTAGTTTTGTTTGGTTGCATTAACTGTGCTTAATTTTTTTCTCCTGTAGGAAGTTGGACATTATTTTAAGACTACCATAAGTTGTATATTTTTAAGCAAATTATATCAAATTTATATCAGATTTATATCAAATCCATATTAAATTATGTGTCAAATCTATATTAAATTGTATTAAATCTATGAAATAAAGATCTATTTACAAGAAATGGGCATGTGCAATTTGCGTCGGCAGTTTATTATACTGTTACGGTTTTTTGCCATCCCAAATTAAGTCTATTCTTCTTTCAACACACAATAAAACCTCTAACTATTCTTACTGTCTTCTTCCATCCAACTTCCTACTCCTCCTACTGATTTCCTCTGGATTTCTAAAATTAAATTATTCATTCACTTCATCAAATAGAATTCTCCATCAATTTACTGGGCATTAAAAACCTCAGGTTGGTTTAATGTGTTAATATCTTTGTACTAATTCTTAAATTATCGTGTCATTAGTTTTGCCTGATCAATCCTTAGGCAAGTCTGATAAAATTTATATTTCCTTCTAGTATCTACATTCAAGTTTTGGGTCCTGCAGTGGATGCACCTTTTCCCATTGCGACGTTATTTCTTTTACGTCACGTGTGCGTCGTCTGGTGTCATGACTACTTCACTGTGCTAAGGCGACTTGACCTGAAGACCTCATATTTTGCCCCGCTCAGAATTAAGCCTGCCTTGGTGCCAAAACCATCCTAACTTATGCGCTGTTACCAGAAGAGCAGTTTGCAGCCTTTTATTGAATCCAAAATAAATAAAATCTTAACTATATGTGGATGCGCTGTTGCTGCTTCCTCCCAAAGTTCCTTGTTCTGTTTTCATTAATTAAATAAACTTTTAAAAATTCAAAACTCGACTGTGTAAAATCCTTACACAGTAGCTATTAGGAGAGGTTTGTCATGAGAGTGAATGTCACAGCAAGCTAAGCAGCTGTAGCAACCAGCAGTAGAATTATATAATTAAGCCCATTTATTTAAAACGTACTTAAAGATGTTTCACTTTAACCCATTAATGCCGAGGGGTTCCATTTGGAACCAGCGGAAAAAAATGAATTCATAATAAAATTGTATGGTCAAATCAATACACTAGTGGATGCGTAGGTTTGATACACATCTTGTACATGTTCTGGCAACATTTGGTTCTGCGCACTGACTACTCCTTGCTCTGTTAACATTAAAAGATTGTGTGTACCAGGTGTCAGACAGGAGGGCTTGACATCATTCCAGAGAAAGACAAGTAGTTCGTTCTAAAATACCGTAAAATGGGGTAACTTAGACCGGCGGGGTAACTTAGACCACTTTTCGTTTTTTCAACAAAAACCCCCACAACTCAAAAACTATCTGACATAGAAAAATTTTGTAAATGGGCATTAAAGGCCTAATACTGAGGCTGCATAACACAATAGAAAGATTTGAAAAGTTTGCATATCTAATAGGTTAAAAAATTAAAAATGTGACCCACAAAAAAAACCTATTATTTAAAGCCTGTCAGAGTACCCCCTCCAATTTTTTTATTTTTTGGTTAAATAACTCCAGGTTTTGATGCATTGTAGTAGAACTCTTCTAGTTACATATGCAAATGAAAATTTTTAGGAAAGTGTCATAGTTTGCAAATGGGGGGCGCCGCCCCCAAATGGGGTAACTTAGACCACCTAATGTCAGCCCTGACGGGGTAACATAGACCGGCTTGGAAGTTGATATAAAATTACCATATATAACATATTTTATGTTTGACAGCCTATTTATGTTTTTTCTTTATGTTTTACACTCTACAGAGTCCTATATATGGTAATTTCAATTTAATTTCCAAGCCCGTCAATATTACCCCAACAGGGCTGCCATTAGGTAGTCACATTTCCCTCATTATGGGGTGGCGCCCCCCATTTGCAAACTATGACACTTTCCTCAAGTTTTTCATTTGCATATGTAACTAGAAGAGTTCTACTACAATGCACCAAAACCTGGAGTTATTTGGAGTTATTTTACCAAAAAATATAATTGATTTTACCACCTGGTCTAAGTTACCCCAAGAGATGGGGTAACAAAGACCATCACTTTTTTTTAAATTAGATAAAGACTATGAGAGGCAGGAGCCACCAATTTATGGTGAGTGAAGCTAGAGTATAGACCTGTATTTTGCATGTTTCAATTGAAGTTTAATTTAGCTAGTGAAAAAATGGCATCATTTATAAAAAAAAATGGTCTAAGTTACCCCATTTTACGGTATATTATTTATAAGTAAGATGCAGAATTTTATTAATAAAAAGAGTACTTTTAATTCTGTATATGGTATTACGTGATATAATGTTTATAAAGTAATTTAGACCATGAAATATTTTGCCTGGTTCCAAATGGTACCGCTCTGCAGTAGTGTAAGCATTCTGGTCATCTCATTTTTCCAGTTTATTACTTTGTGATATAGTTACGCATTGTATTTAAAAAAATTTGTATGTATTAGAAATTATTTATTTCTATCTTAGATCTATGTACAGTGTTTCTGTTATTTATTAGTGAACTATTATCTTTAGAGAGCTCTGTTAGGAGTATATAACCCGAAAGTTGAAATATTAGGAGGTAGGTACGTTGAACGCTATACAGTTTTTCATCAAGTCATTTATTTTCTAATTGTATTTTTGGCAGATCATCTTTTTAGATGAAATCGTTCCTGTTTATCTCAGTTACTGGAGCATCACCACCAAATCCTGGCCAGGCTGGAGGAGGGGGCCGGGGTGGACGTGGTGTATTTGGACTTCGCGAAAGCGTTTGACAAAGTCGACCATGGAGTGCATCAGGTGGCCCAAATGAGGGCGGATGAACGATAATCAGAGGCGGCGATCCATCGTGGCCTGGGACTGCTATGTCCCAAACAAATACTAAGGATACTAAGGATACTCGAAATAATTTTCAAATCCACCTTTGATTTTCAAATCCACCTTTCTCTCCATTGCTTCTGCATATTCATCTGCTGCTTGCACAAACGCCATGATGCCCTCCTCCGTACACCTTTTCTTCTTCTTCAGTACATCTAGCTCATGCAACAGAGCCTTACTCTTCTGAGTTTTCTGGGCCTTCGCATTCTGCTCTTTCTCTTCTGACAAATAAGTATTGTAGGCTGTTTTGGCACTACCAGCTGCAAGCAGCATCTTCTTGGTGATGGTCATCTTGTCCAGGCCACCAACATGGATGCAGGATATTGGCCTAGCAATGAGGATGCAGGTGCACCAGTGCTGAAGCTGCACATGCACCAGCAATATCTCAGGCACACGCACACGTGAATGACTTACAATCTCCTCCCCATGGGTAACAGACACAAGTTCGAGCGGTTGGAGTTGTCATACACAAAGATGGCTCTGCTTGAGGCCAGAAATTTGGTCTTTTCATTCTCATAATTTTGAAATAGGATTTGAGTTCACAATTGTGCATTAGAAGACTGCATTTGTTGGGAAACAATCTATATTACTGCCTGGTAAAATAATTGCAGCATATGTAAAGTAGAAGACAACTAAAAAATACTTAACAAAATTAAGCGCATATATCATTTGCACCTGAGGTTGTAGCGTGACACAACCCATGGCAATTAGGGTTAACACACGCAGCACAGAAAAATACTTCCTTTTTCTATTTATT